CTCAAAAAAAAAAAAAAAAAAAAAAAAAAATTCCAGCACCATCGTTGCATTGTATGTGAAATGATTTTTTAGACTCTGAGCCTTCTACCATATTGGATACCACGCTGCAATTCTTTTCTTGCTTTCTGCAATACCACTTACTATCTAAGCTACTTTTTCATTTGTTTGCTTGAACTGTACTTCTTATTTCTTTGTTTTTTTCTCCATTTATCTACTTCTTAAATGCTGGGTTCTCTCTCAAGCCATTTTTTGGTCTTACCCCTCCCTGGATGGTCTCACTTCTGATCTTTTAATCTATTTTTCTAGAGCCTTCTCTTTTACACCACTTGCAATTTTCCTAATTCGCATCCTTACCCTCTCTTACCAGGTCTACTGCAATAATCTAACTGGTTTCCCATTTGCAAATTGCTTATATCTGGGAGCTTTGTTTTTCACACTGCCACCAGAATTGGCTTCCTAAAACCAGGTTAGTACATGACACCCTTTCTCAAAGGTTAACATCACTCCCTTACAGGGTAGTGTTCAAGTTGTTTAGCATGGCACCCAACGTCCTTCACTACGTTCCTGTTCATTTTTCATTGCATCCTTCCCTGATGCCACATTTTCTGCTATTATAGTCTACTTAGTGTTCTACACACGTTTCATCTTTCTCTACCCACCTTCTCACTGGACGATGCATTTCTTTATTCTTTATCTTTGTGGCATTTCCCAATATATGCTCCTCAGAATACTGGTCTTGTGAGATGTCTACTAAAGAAAAGGAATCTGGTAATCTGGTGTAATACAGTATACTAGATCCACTTCCACCCCTGCCTTGGAGGTTTCATGAACTTTAGCATTTATTTATTTATGTATTTATTTATTTTTGAGACAGCGTCTTGCTCTGTTACCCAGGCTGGAGTGTGGTGTTACGATCTTGGCCACTGCAACCTCCACCTTCTGAGTTCAAGCAATTCTTCTGCCTCAGTCTCCTGAGTAGCTGGGACTCCAGACACCTACCACCACACCCGGCTAATTTTTGTATTTTTGGTAGAATCGGGGTTTTGCCATATTGGCCCGGCTGGTCTCAAACTCGTGACCTCAGGTGATCTGCCTACCTCGGCCTCCCAAAATGCTGGGATTACAGTCATGAGCCACTGTACCCGGCTAAATTTTAGCCTTTAAAATGCTCTGAGAAGTCCTGCAGCAAGTAAATCAGGTTAGCTTTGCTACTCAGTGTTTCCCAAACACCAGATTCCTCTTTTTCTAGAAACCCGTAAGAATTAGCATTTAATGACCGTACTTTGGGAATCCCTGATCTATTCAAATCTTTTTCATTCATTCACATTTCATTTCATCTGTCCTTATTCATTGACTTGGAAAATATGTATTTAGCACCATGCCAGGCACTGGTGAATATACTGAGAAAATATTCTCTTGACAGCAAGATGAACATAATTCCTGCTTTGATGAAACTTACAGTTTTGACTGAACAGTGGATAAGTAAACATGCAATGACCACAAAATGTGGTAAGAGCTATCATAGGGGAAACAGAGACAATGTGGCGGTGCATAGCAGAAAGACAATGAATCTTGGGGAGTGATTAGGGAGAGCTTCCTGGAGGAAGTGGTTTTATACAGGGACCTAAAAGAGAAGTAGAAGTTAGTCAGATGGGAATAAGGGGGGCAAAAGGGGAAGAGTGTATTCAGGGGCAACTACTTGTATGAAGCTGCTAAAACCAGAGACAGCATGGCATGTCTGAGGGACTAAAAGAAATCTCAACTCTCACGCCTGTAAACCCAGCACTTTGGGAGGCCGAGGCGGGCAGATCATGAGGTCAGGAGATCAAGACCATTTTGGCTAACACGGTGAAACCCCGTCTCTACTGAAAATACAAAGAATTAGCCAGGCGTGGTGGCGGGCGCCTGTAGTCCCAGCTACTCGGGAGGCTGAGGCAGGAGAATGGCATGAACCTGGGAGGCGGAGCTTGCAGTGAGCCGAGATCCCACCACTGCACTCTAGCCTGGGCAACCCAGCAAGACTCTGTCTAAAAAAAAAAAAAAAAAAGAAAATCTTATTTCAAAGGTGAAGACATCTTCACCGCTCCTTTCATCCCCATTCACGGGAACTTCCTCTGTCTTCTCTACGTTATCTAGCTTGCAAAGTGGATGTTCAGAACATGCTTAGGCATTACAGTAATCTGATCAAACAATTGTTTTAGGGGGACAGATATGATCTTTTGAAACACAGAGCTACACACATACCCACTTCCAAACTCTTCAATAAAGTCAGAATAAGGAAGTTTATTTTTTTAAAGGGTTTACTATTAAAGGGCACTTATAGATGTTGTATTAATTTTGTTTCTGATTTATTTTTTAAACGAAAGATTAACATAGGTATGTAATTGTGGATGGCGAGGGATTTTCTTAATCAACCCCATTGTTATTTTATTCTCCTTAGTAAGTTTTGCATTTTTAGGCAGCTTGCTTTTGTCAACTAGCAAACAGGCAGGCCAAATTGTAATTGGGCAGATTGAACTAGAAGCTTAGAATTAAGCATACTTAAGAGCCCAGGATTTGGACTCAGCGTCTCTCTCGGTAGCCACCATACTGAGATGCATGCCCTCGATCATTGCCTTAATTCTCAGACACACTGTGCTTCCTGCCTTTCCTTCCATGGCTGCTGTCTGGCAATAAAAGAGTCATCCTTTTTGTTATCAGTAGAACAGAGGGTAATGTCTCTTAATTAACAAAAGGAAGTGGTGCAATGTAGTAAGAACATTGCAATTGTTTCCAATTAATCCCACATGCAGTTTGGCAAAGTTAATAATCCATAAAATGACCTGAGACCTAAATATGCAGAAGAGTCATCTTTTGTCCGTCATTTTTTCTATTGATCCAGCAAAAGCAAGAAAATTCCAAGACTACATGCAAGGCCTACAGATTTAGAATATCATAAATTCTTAAGTATTATCTCAAATATAAAATAAATTTACCTGTGCCATTCAGATCGTATGAATTTCGAAATGTTTTACAACCTTTATAAATCATAACATGTTGACAGGTGTCAATTCAACCACAGTGAAGCAATTATTTACTTGGATATACCATTTGTCACCAAAGCAACAGCACCTTCCCATTCATATAAAAGCAAGAAGGACATTTGCATTTTAATTTCATCATCAGTGTATTTCTAAATTATTTGAGGATAGAGAATGTGTCTTACACATCTATCAACCCCTAAAAATGCCACATGGAACCTACTATCCCAGGTCCAATAACTTTTTCTTTCCATTGTGGCAGAATACACATATGTAAAATTCATTATTGTAACCATTTTAAGGTGTATAATTCAGTGCCATTTAGTACATTCACAGTGTTGTGCAGCCATCAACACTACATAGTGCTATAATATTTTCATCAACCCAAAAGGAAACCCTGTAGCCAAGAAACAATCATACCTAATTCTCCAATTTTCCTTAGCCCCTGGTAGAACCAACCTACCTTCGGGTCTCTGTGAATTTGTCTATTCTGGACATTTCATATAAATGGAATCCAACATATGTGGCTTCTTTCTGTTGGCATAGTATTTTCAAGGTTCATCCATAAAGTACATATGTCAGTGCTTTCTTTCTTTCTATGGCTGAATAATATTTCATTATATGGATATGCCACATATTTTTTGTCCACACTTTGTTTATTGATGAACATTTGTGGGTTTTCTACCTTTTGGCTACTGTGAGTAACGCTGCTATGAACATTCCTGTACAAGTTTTTGTTTGAGCATCTGTTTCTAATTCTTTAGGATATCTGTCTAGGAGCGGAATTACTGGTAATTCTATGTTTAACCTATAGAGGAATGAATAATACTTTTTTATTGAATATTACCAGGATTCTGCAAAGATTGAATGTGGTTGGTAGGGCAGATCTATACCTGCTGAAATGCCTGGATGAAAGAGCTATGGAGCTTTGGGATATGTGTGCTTGTATCAGCCTGGGTCAGGAAGATTGACTTGGATGATTCATTTCTCCACTAGCTCATAAGCTACTTTCTTCAGTGGAACTGTGTTGCCAAACACTCGGGCATTGGAGTTGGACTGTATGAATTCCAGTCCCAGGCTTGTCATGTATCAGTGTGACCTTATTTACATTTGTTTATTTATTTATTTATTTGAGACAGAGTCTCGTTCTGTCGCCCAGGCTGAAGCGCAGTGGTATGATCTCGGCTCACTGCATCCGCCGCCTCCTGAGTTCAAGCGATTCTCCTGCCTCAGCCTCCCGAGTGACTAGGATTACAGGTGTGAGCCACCGCACCTGGCCACTGTGTGACCTTAAACTAGTTGTTTGACCTTTAAGACTTAGTTTCATCACTTGTAAATGAAAGAACTAGCTCTAACTACAACATGAAGTTGTGGTTACTTTAAACAGGGCAGGGTATTTCAAAAGTGTGGTATATCACTTGGCAATAAATACTCAAAAAGTATTAGCTTGAATTGTGTTTCTACTACTTGATATCCCTGTGGTGTTTAAGTAGCATAGTGCTAGGCACACTAAAAGGCACTTAATCGTATGGAAATAATGACATATTTAATGGGAAATGACAGATCATTTTGAGGATTATCAGTTTTTTCTCTTTTTTTCTTCCTTTTCTGTTGTTGCATGTTTGTTGGAATATTCTGTTTCCTGAAGGGTGAGCAAAAGATGGGATGTGGCATTGGAAAGTCAATGTCAATGAACGTAGGCAGAGATTTTCTTATGGGTACCTTTCCTGTAATCCCACACTGGATGAGGTTAGTTGCTGGCAGAATGGGGGAATTGATGAGCCATTTATTTCCTGCTCAAAGTTTTTCATACCTTGGGGAGGAGCTTCTCCAAAAGGAAACATCAAAGGACTCTCTGTCTGTGTTAGAAAATGCGTTTTCCTTAATTCAGGTCCACTCATGATGTTTTGATTGCAAGCCCCATATACTGACCTTTGAGTTCACTTTACGTATTTTTCTATGCCAGTGCAAGCCTTCAGCGTTACAAACATCAGATTGCATATACCTTTGCTTGTATGCTTGCTTCTGGCTGCGAATCTGCCCTGGGCTCTGACTATGCTGTATTCCTGACTCATGCTGCTTCGAGGCTCGCTTGTCCTGACGTACGCCCATAATTCACAACTCTGCAGCTTCCCAGAACCCCAATGCTACACTTCAAGGACATTTGGCTCCTACTCACTGAAGGTAGGAGCAGATTCAAGAGGAGAGGCAGGAAGTGGCAAGTGAGAGGTAGTGACATCCGGTCACGAACTCTCCCTGCCGAAAAAAGGTCTTAGAGCAATGTGCTGTGTGATGAGACCCCTCCACCTCTTCTTTTCTTACAATCAGCCTGACACTACTATGGTTTTCTGCTTGCTTCTCTTCACAGCTGTGACTTGTAAGAAAGACCCTTCATCATTTTACAGAGGTGATTTGTGCCATAACAAACGGCTATAAAGAGCGCCACAACTGCAGTGGGCCAAGCACCAGATGTGACACAGAATATGTGATGTAGGTTAAATATCAAGTACCTGTCAGTAATTTGCTACTACTCTGAGGATACTTCTTAAAGAGGATTTTACTGTTGGTCTGGTTTAGCCTTTCACCAGCTGAAGAAAGTTTACCCAAACGTATTGGGACCCAAGGGTTTTCTGTAGGTGAAATACAAGGGTGAGTGCCCTTGACCCTGAGCCTCACTGGTAGGTAGAAAAGGACTGCTTATATGAGATTGGTGCCATAAAGAGCTCAGGAAACATAACGTCCAAGTGAAAATCATATGCTTACTATGCAATCACCTCTTTAAGGCCAAGCCCCCAGGCTCTCCTTCCAAGAATATTGTAATTACTAAGGGCAATCTATACAGACACCTTGAAACCATTGCTACACGGGGTGACAATAGTAAGAATCATTTCTGTCTATCCCAATTTCTCTGTCTTAGCATCTGTCCTGAGCAGATAGTAAGCATCTGTGTCCAAATGATACATATTAAGGGACAAGCGTGTTCAAACGTTAGAATAGTCCCACTAATGGGAGGCTGAGAACCGTTGATGGCACAGATGAGCAGCACACCACTCAGAGAGTCATTAAAAGTGAAGATCAACATAAAAATCTCCAACCTGCTTGCTTTACCCATGTCAAAGCCAGGATGAGACGTATTTAGGACATGACACACAGGCGAGAATGTGTATTTCCATCACTTCTGAGCAACTTCCTAGCAAAAAGCTCCGTGAGGACTTCCACCTCCTTATAGTCAAGGCTTTTCATCTATTATGAATTCTCAACTGACTTCCGGGGCAAACATCATAAAGCAATTTTATCTCCACTGAATATTTCACCATTCTAAATAGAAAGTCTTCCAGCCTCTTACCTTGTTGCTGAAGTTGCCCTAAAGAAAAGTAACTCTAAACCAACATATGCAGGCTCCCATGGGTTAAAACACAAACCCCTTACAACCATGTTATATATAAAAAAATTCATCTTTTAACACCAAAAGCTGAAAAGCAGTTTTAAGAAGCCATCACAATGCCATCCCACACTGTGAGTTATTTAATTGCAATAGGAATACATGTACCAAAAATCATTCCCTAATTAGCTTGAACCTAAAACAGCAGTTGTTAAATGTGTGATTGGTGCTGATGCAAGAGGGTATGCTTTTGCCATTGTGCGGCAGGGGCTGTGATGGTGTTCAGGTTTTATTTTTAAAGTTTGGGTAATTATAACTTAAACTAACAGCAGGGGGGAAATGAATCATTTATTTGTCTCTCTTATTACAGCTTCTCTCCCCAAAAGTGTTTCCTTTCTTGCTGCATTTACCTACCTAGCAAGGTGTTACTCTGGGTCCTGAGGATGGAAGCATCTGGGATTTGATCACAAATTGTATAGTAAACATTCTGAGACAGGTGACTGCCACCCAAATTCATTATAAAGTGGAAAAAATGCACTCAATTAATTCAGCACGTTTGCCGGATATAAAACTTGAACAATCAACAAGAATCAGTTTGGCATTGGAGGTAAAGTTCTGGACTGGATGTCAGAAAACCTGGATTTGAGCCCATCTCTGCCAGTTACTAGCGGGGCACCTCTGGCGCCCCCTAGCTCCCTGGATTCTCGGTTCTCTTTTATGCTCTCTCAGGTTGCTTGCAGCTCTGAGATGTAGAATTCCACAATAAAGAAGAGTGGAATGGTGTGAATGTCATGAATATACAGCTACTTGTATAATCTACTGCTTTTCTCCAATTACTAAGAGCCGTGCGTCAGCCTTAGACTTGGCTCGGATTTTGACTGATGAGGAAAGAGTTCTAGAAAGGAGAAGTGACTGGTTAATAGTTATACTGTTGGTAAATATGGAAGACAGAGTACAAACCAGGGATTTCTATGTTAGGTGGGCTCAAATCCAGGTTTTCTGACATCCAGTCCAGAACTTTTCCTTCTATGCCAAACTGCTTCTTGTTGATTGTTCAAGTTTTATATCAAGCAAATGTACTGAATTAATTGATGCTAGATTACCTAAGGCAGTCTCTCCTTAGATTATGGAGACACCAGGTGACATTGAATTAAAGGCTTTACCGATGTATTTTCCAATGGCTACTCATTATTCTTAGACTAGGGGACAGTATCTGGAATCCAGCAGTCTTAGTTCCGGTTCAGCATGATTTTGCCACACAATGCAGCACCTATATGTCCTAGGTTTATCTTTGTTCAGAAAAGCTGGATTATGTAATAATTAAGAGTATGGGCTTGATACCAAGATTTGTATATGACTGTTCATAGCAGCTTAATTTGTAATAGTCAAAAACTGGAAACTTCCTCACTATTCATTAACAGGTAAATGGACAAATTGTGGTATATCCATACAATGAAACACTACTCAGTGATTAAAAATGCATGAACTGTTGAGGTCTGCAACAACATGAATAAATCAGAAAATAATTATACCAAGTGAAAGAAGCCAAACAAAAATAAAAAGTTCATCCTTTAGCATTCCATTTACATAAAATTATAGAAAATGTAGGCTAATCTATAGCAACAGAATGCAGATCCTTGTTGCTTGGAGATGGGAGTCTGGGGAGGGATGAAAAAGACGCAGGAAGAAGCTTTTGGGAGTGAGGGATATGTTCATTATCTTGATTGTGATGGTTTCATGGGTGTATATACATGTTAAAAGCTTTCAAATTATATACCTGAAATATGTGCAGTTTATTATATACCAATTATACCTTATTTTAGCTGTTCCAAAAAATAAACACCAGACAGGGCTTGGAGTTGAAAAACCAGATGGGGCCATGTCGTGTTATTGTCGTTGTTACTATTGTCATCGGGTGGTGCTGCTGCTGACGGTGTGCACGGGTCTATGCTCCCTTATGATTCCATGCAGCTAGCCTGACATAGAGAGGTGGCTGGGCAGAAAAAAGACCTGGAATCAGTTAGATCAGGGAAGGCTAATCTCATTTTATTCCTGGCTCTGTGGGTTTTGCTACCCACTATCTGTGTAACCTTTGGTGAGTTATAAACATCATCTGAAAAAGAGTAGGGCGGGAAATAATAATTCCTACATCATCAAGTTGCCTTGAGGATGAAATAAGTTAATGTTTGTTAGGTGCTTAATAAAAATTAACTTGTATTATTATTTTCCCAGAACACTGAGAAAGGATTCTGGTTTTTTTTGTTTGTTTTTAATTATTTATTTATTTTTTTGACTGAGTCTCACTCTGTTGCCCAGGCTGGAATGCAGTGGTGTGACCTCGCCCCACTGCAACCTCCACCTCCTAGGTTCAAGCAATTCTCATGCCTCAGCTTCCCGAGTAGCTGGCATTACAGGCATGCACTACCACGCCTGACTACTTTTTGTATTTTTAGTAGTGATGGGATTTCACCGTGTTGGCTATGCTGGTCTTGAACTCCTGACCTCAAGTGATCCGCATACCTCGGCCTCCCAAAGTGCTGGGATAATAGGCATGAGCCACGGAGCCCAGCCAGGATTCTGTTTTACCTTTTGCATTGCATTTTGTTTTCATAAAACTTAAGTTCATCATCTATTTAAAGAATACTAATGTGAAGCAATTCATACAGGTTTCCAGATTGCTACTCAGCACCCTGTCTGGGAGCTTTTGTTCTGCCCACACTCTCTAAAATAGTAGGCCTTTCCCAGTCACTCTTTAGACCTTGCCCTGTTTTATCTTTCTTCATAACACTTACCACCACCTGAAATATTATATATTTGCTTGTTTATTTGTTTACTCTCTGTATCCCTCCACTGGAACATAAGCTCGCTGAAGCTAGGGACTTTGTCTGTTTGGCTCACTGAAATATAAAATTCACTCAGTTAGAGACAGGAGAATCGCTTGAACCTAGCAGGTGGAGGTTGCAGTGAGCTGAGATTGTACCATTGCACTCCAGCCTGGGCAACAAGAGTGAAACTCCGTCAAAAGAAAAAAAAAATCCACTCAATTAGTATGTGTTGGGTGTTGAATAAATGAATGACTGCATTATCTTCAAGGGCCTTCCTTTGAGATGGTGACAGTGTGGTGGTGGCCATTTTTATTATTGTCTTTGTGTGGTACTGTTGCTGATGGTGTCCACATGTTTATGCACCCCTATGATTCCATGCAGCTAGCCTAACACAGAAAGGTGGCTAGGCAGAAAAAAGACCTGAAATCAGTTATATTAGTGAAGTCCTAATCTCATTTTATTCCTGGCTCTGTGGGAGTAAGAGACTGCATAGGCTGAATAAGATATTTGAGAAAATAAGATCAGGGCCTGAGACTGTTCCTTAAATGATAAACAAAGAACAGAAATCTTAAGTCTTGGATACTTGGAAACACGATGGCTCTGATGTAACTCACCCTCAAACCCTTTAAAAAAATAGTCAGTAAGAAAAAAGACTGAAAGGAAGTTAAGTCCAGGGCAAACAGTCATCCCAGGCCTCCAGTGGGCCTCTAAACTGCAGCCAATTTGTTCTGTTTTGGGTTACTCAAGACT